CTTCTATTTTATCTTCTACATACAAGAGCCAAATGCATTATCAAAGTCAATATGTAATAATTCAAGAGTTATATGGAGCTTATCCTAATATTAAAGTGGTCATATGAAATGTGATGTATAAAAAAAATATATATATATATATTGTACTAGATGCATTTACAAATCTAATTATACTAGGAAAATAATATTTCATTGCCACTTGAATACAAACAAAGGTTATAGATGATGGTTTAGCTTACGCCAATATAAGAAGCTATAAGGGGAAAAAAGTGGTGAAATTATTAACTATGCAATCAAAGAACTCAAAAAAAATTGGATAATTCAAGACTAAAACTATTACAAAAGTATGTAAAAAATTTAGATATTTTTAACACCATCAAAGCTTTTAGTGCACACCATTGTAAAGCAAGCTTGTAATGCTCTCATAAGAAATATTTCAAATTGAATAAAATACAGAACATAAACTATATTTGTTCGACAAACAGAAAGTCGAATAAGATTAAATAAATCCTACTAATCACATCAAATAGTGACAAATAAAAACATTAAAGTTGCTAAAAAGATCCGAAAATAGAAACTAATTTTTTGATAAATTCATGTTGAAAATTCGAAGAAAGTAAGTCTGGATTATATTCTAGAGAAAAAGAATAAGTGATAAGAAGCAAATTGAATTACTAATAAGTACTATAGATATATTCCAAAAATTAACATATTAAAATCTTTGAATTGATAAAAAACTGTAGGCCCAAAGAGTATTCATACAAATTTGATCTAAATCAATGACCAGGATATGTGAAAAAAAATTACACACACAACATTTCGACAGTCGCTCACGCATGGTACTCACGTGCCTTGCTTACTCGTTGAAACCTGCTACGTCATTGAGTAGAAACTTGGAGCTTGAATTTGCAACTTCAGCACAATGGTCCACACATACGATACCAACATCAGATCGCGGGCGTACCTTTCTGAAAGAGAATCCCACATCCTGAACCGACCATGAACAAATCCAGCCAACCAATCCATCCACGAAGCAACCTTCGAACAACTAGAGACGCCAGGGAAGACTTTCAAATCCAGAAATCAAAAAAACGTGTAGCATTCCCAACCCATTCAACATTTCGAAAAACAATCAGTTTCGATAAATATTCACGCCAAAAATGCTGACCGATGCGTCATACAATTCACATTGTGCACAAATCCGACAATCACGCATTGAGTTATCAACTCCTGACCCATTCCTTGGGCGGAGGCTTTACAAGCTACACTCTTAACACCTTGACACTTACCACCACCACACCCACCACCTACCGTGCTCCAAAACTCATTGCATGGTCCCAACTGCCCCACCCCATCAAGGACCGCTTTCACCAATTCACGATACCACACCCCTCCCACGTCACATCACAACCACGCTCGTGCCCTCCCAAATCTCCATGTTTGCGCAAAATTATAGATTTAAAGTGTATGTTCACACAAATACAATCTCATCAATCGAGCCGTCCCTCTCTTAAATTCTATCTAAGCGGCAGGTTCCCACCCAGCGGGTGCGACGGGAGCCTCAGCAGGCGCGGCGGGATCCCAACCTGCGGGAGCAACTGGCGCAGCAGCGGCTCCCACGTCCCAACCAGCTGGAGCCCCTGCGGGCACTGCACCAGCTGCTGCATCCGTCTCCCATTGCCCGGCCTCAGCGGCCTCGGGACCCCACTGGGCATCCCCTCCCAAAGCAAGCGTCGGCGCCGCGTATTCAACTGCAGCGAACTCAGCTGCTCCTCCCTCCTCTTCCTCGCGGTCCTTACCTTCATCGGGCTCCCTGTAGAAGAACAGGTCAACCTGTACCGCACACCCGACCCCCCCAAACTCGCACAATCAGCCCCCCCTCGCCACCAACTATCACCCAGACCCGCTCTCCGCTCCTCCCAATTCTCATACGCCCTCACACACCACCCAACCTATCCCCATGCATTACCCGCCACGTCCACCACATTCACATCCCAACCCCTCCCACCGCGCAATCCCCCCCCCCACCAATCTCCCAAACCGCCACACTCACCATCACGTCCCATGGGTGCGCGGCGCTGATCGTGCCTCGCATCTGCAACACCATGCGGGCCAGCAGCCAGAACAGAGCACCGATGCTGTGCTTGCCCTTGTTGTTCGCCGGAATCGCGATATCCACGTACTTCATCGGAGAGTCCGTATCACAGAACGCGATCACGGGAATGTTCCCCAGAGCTGCCTCCATGATGGGCTGCCAAACATAACACAACACAATACAACTCATCGTCACACACCGCCCCACTTCTCCACCTTATCCATTCCTCACCCCCTCCAGCCCTAAAACAACCCCCTCTGCTCCCACCATCCATCGTCTCCCACCTCAGTCACTCACCTGGTGATCAGTGCGGGGGTCCGTCAAAATTAGCAGCCTGGGCTCGCTGAACGTGTTCTGCAGCTGATTCGTAAACGTACCGGGCGTGTGCCTTCCCGCGATGGCCTGGCATCCCGTATACTGCGCGAATTTCAGCACCGCGCGCTGCCCGTACGGCCTCGCGGACTGGACGATGATGTCCTGGGGGTTCTCGATGGCAGCAATCACCCTCGCGGCCAGCTCCAGCTTTTCGTAGGTCTTGCCCACATTGATGATGAAAATACCTGCCCACACAAAATAAAAAACGACGTCACTACCCTCGTCAACAGCCCACTATCACAAACCACTTCCCTCCGAACCAAACCCCCGCGCCCTCGCACCAAAAACGAACACTTGCACAAGCACCTAACCAAACCCCAACGGGCCACAGGAGGAAAAACCCTAATTACCATCAGAGCGGCGCTTCCAGACGTAGCGCTCCATCTGGAAGTCGCAGTTCTTGGTGCCTAGGTGCACGTCGGCAGCCAGCATCATCTGCACATCGCTCTCCTTCATGGTGAAGTCCAGCAGGGAACCAAAGCTGGTATCACAGACGTCCGAACGCTGGAATTGGCGCTGCGAAAAGGACCAACAAATGTGCCGAGGCGAGCCTCTACACACCTCCGGAGCAAGACGACAAAGCTGGAACCCTAAAGATAAAGAGACGGAGGCGCCAGGTGTCTTTTACGTTCGCTACTTCGATTTCCTGTTCCTTTCGTGTGCGTTGCTAAGGGCCTTCGTCTCAAGTTGCAGTCTTCCGGGACGTCGTGCCCATGATGGTGGGTCTTCGTCGCTGTTTGCCTCGTGTGGTTGGTGTTCTTCTTTCCTCCGTGTAGGACGGAAGAGGCTTCACAGTTCTCGCCTCACAGTTCCTTTCCATCCCCATGCACTCGGCCTCGGTCCTATGACTTTCTTCCCTTCGTTTCTGCTTGGGTTTGGGATTATTTGTTTATCCGTTTCTTTTTCTTGTTCTTCTCTCTTTTCCTCTCCCACTGTTCCTGTGGGTGTGTTCTTGGAAGTCTCTCCCTTTCTTCAGTATGTTTCTGTTTTGTTGTGTTTTATTTTGTGTATTTTTACTATGCAGGCGTGCAAGGTGAGTTGCAATGTGAGGCTAGGCTTTTAACATCTCTTTTGACGGACTAAAATTGATCACAAGTTTTCCTGTGGAAATGCTTGAATTTTTTCAACTGTTGAGTCTTGTTTTTTACTTTGTGGTTATTCTTGTAGATCAACCACTTTTGTGAGATGTACTTATATTAAACACAAACTTAAATCTACTTTTATCAACAGATCCTAATTATTTTTTAGAACCATTGAAAATTTGTTTTCATAGCCTATGTTGCCTTTGAAACCAAACCTATAGATACCAAAACTGCATTAACATTTATTCTTCTCTCCCTCTATTCTACTTTGGATTTAAATAATTAAAATCAATATACTTTTTGCCTAAATCTTATCATACTCTATAGACTATTTTTATATTTGTTCCATTGAAAAAAATCAATGCAGTGAAGCATTATATTATGTTTTAACATTTTTTTCATGATCTCAACTTTTATACTCTTGAGGTATTTTCTTGTAGACAACTTTATATTTCATCAATGTCTACTTACGAATATATATTTGATATTTCACTATTAAATATAACTTAAATATTATTTCATTTTTAAATATAAATTTTATGCGACATTATTTTGCTTTATAATCTTATATTTTTTTAACCGTTTTTTTATCATGAAATTGCTTTTGATACGACACTTTTTTTCCAAATTGCTTATTTAGCACTGACTTCATGCATTTCAAGCCAAAGCCTAGTTGAAATTGTTTTGTCTATTAATCCTAGATTTTAGTATATATTTTTTTGACAATGTAGATAACAATGCTAATGTTGCAACTATCAGTTTTCTTGGTGTGGTAAGCATTTGTAAGCAAAATTTTCTTATATTGATTTGAATCTTTAAAGTTGATATGAGAATCTAATTGTAAAGGATATTGATTTGTATTCTTTTAAAGAAAATAATCATAATTCTGAAATTTTGAAAACTGTTATCTATAGAATTTAAGTTCTTACAATGAAGTATCAAACAATTATCTACAAATCAAAATTTCCAAGATATTGAACAGCAAAATGCATTTTAAGATACATTTATAAACTCTTAGACAAGATCATAACGACATACTACAGACCCAGAGACTCCTATCACAGAGCACTATATTGATACCCGGTTCAGCTCCGAAACACCAGAGACATGATACTGATCCGACATCAACACATGGTAAGAACGGCACTCAAACTCGGGTGGGCCCAGACGACGGACGGATGGCGACGACAGACGTCGGGAACTCAACGAGAAATCGAATCGTCGCATCACGTCCCCTGCATCGTACAGGGGCCCACAAGGACCTCCAGAGGAGTAGTACGTTATACTGCAGTCAGACACGAGCCGTGAACCTGGACAGATTAATACCGTATCATTGAGCCAGATGCTTGTATGTGGCCGCGGAGATCGAAGATAGAGCGCGACCACTGCCCTAGTCAATTACTGTGATAACTGTGCCAGGATTCGGGGGCCTGGTATTTGATGTGAGTTCATGGAGTAAAGACCTTCAGTTCCTTGCATTCGTTTTTGCAGCGGGGGTTCTGAGAGCGGCGTGCTCGTATAGCAGTATCTGAGTTCGTGTGCTTGCTAGGTGTGGATGACAGGTAGTCGTGTGAGGCCGTGAAGGTTTTAAGGGTGGGAGTTTATCATTTTGTATCCCGCGTGACGAGGGTGAAGCGGAGAAGATTAGGGGGAATTGTCTGTGCCGGAGAGCAGCACGCAGGGTTTTTGATCGAGGTGATGGTCGGTGGACTTCCTGAACCTGGAAATTTGTGAGGGTAGTTGTGTTTTGTTTGTGCTTTGGATGGGTCGATGTTAGGAGATATTGTTTGAATGGTAGTTGATGATATTCACACATGTGCAACGCATGTTAGATATGTGTGCCAGGGGATGTCAATGGCCATGGTTCATGTTGGAGAAGGCGATGGCTGCGTTGTTAACATTCGTGGACGTGTGCATGGCTTGTCTGTTTGTCTCTTAGACCCGAGGGCTGAGGAAATCTGAAGAAATCTTGATTCAAAGCAGAAACCAATTGCCGAACAATGTGTCACGGTTTATTTGAAGAGCGGGCAAGGATATCCGTGCCCGAACCTCTTCGGTGAGTCGCTGCTCACACATATTTGAGTTCTGTGGGTTGTGGAATGTTGGTGCTAGCTTTTGTAACCCTGCAAAAATTCGGACACTGCTTGTTGGAAGTTTTTTGGACGAGCTTGCTTCTTTGGGTAGTCTCTGCATGTGAGTACAGTCTCTTGAAATGGAACGACAGTTCGAAGGAATTTGAAGGGGTAATTGATGCGCCATCTTTCGATTCCTGAAACTCCGCTAGCACTAAAACTCCATTTCTAGGCGTATGTTTCGATGTCTTTTGTTCGCATACCTTGTTGTGGCCAGAGCTGCTGTAGTCATCATAGGAGAGGCCGGGGCTATTTGGAGCCTGTGGTTTGTGCATACTTGAGGAGTCTCTGATATCGTTTCTGGCTGTACCTCGCGTTCACTATCAGGGGGGTTTTGTACGAGGATCAGCCCGAGTACGAGAGATATGTCGATGATTACCCAAGCGTGTATGGCAGTAGCAGCGACTCGATGCCGCCAGATTCGCCGGATTTGTCGGACGATGTGTTGGCTGGTATAAATATCGACTATTCCACAATTGTGAAGAAGTCTGATGCCGAGAAGACCAAAGACATCGGATCTGATGCGCTGCCGTTGACTGGATCCCTTTCAACATGGTTTGATTGCATCCAGGATGACGTTTGCATAGTAACCGAGGGAGCACCAACCAAGTCTGGTTATTTTGCTGCTAAATCATCATCATCTCAAGATGCTTTACGCCTGGTCGAGGCTGCACCAGAAAGCAGGAAAGCTTTTAAGACGGCTGCTGCGAAAGATCAGAGCTACTCACAACATGTCTCCAAGATGGATGATGAGGCGCCTGTTTTAATCGACGAGAAAAGAAAGAGGAGGTGTGTTAAAAAGTTCTTGTCTCCATTAGATTCTTAACGGTGTGTGTTTCAGAGCATGTCATGAAAAACTTGAAGACCACCTTTGTCTCGACTATCACGGACACATCCCTTTCAATACCAAGAACTGCCAACTTCTGCTCAATCATTATTACTTCAGGTTTGTGGAAAGGAAATATTTGAACTGCTTGGTATAGTGAGGCACAGGTAGTACTAGTTTCACCGAACGATTGGTCTCGCACCCATTACTTATGGTAGTTTTGCGAGTGTCGTCAACGATTAATGGCGATCGGGAATAAGCCTCCCGCTTAGCATAAGTTTTGGCATTGGGTTACTGTCTCTTTGGTGACAAAGGTGGAGGCGAATGCTACTTATCATGCTCACTTCTTGAGCAGTGCTCCATGTGAATTTTCAAAGATGTGGGTAAACACATCCACTTGGAGCTTGGAAGAAGGTATTGTGTGCTAGAGATCAATACTTGTGACACTTTGCTTTTATAGGAGTGATCACAGCAAGGATTTTGTCGTCTTTCGGTGTACTCCAGTAGGGGCAGGTAGTACGCTCTTTCATGCGAGTGGTGTCCCATTAATGGAGTGGTGACTTAGCCTTTTGAGTGGCGGTTTTGGTGCAGGATGTCCTCAAATCGTGCGTCAGCACAACGGTCAAGACAAAGAAAGCAGGAGCGTCTGGACGAGCTCGAAATTTTGGTAAGGTCCTTAAAAACCTATTTGCCATGTCGGTAAGTGGTTTCAAGTCTTTTGTCAGAACTTACTGACTCGCCTGCCACTCATTTGTTACCTCCTTTTCCATGCAGACTGCTCAATTACGTTTGGAGAACGCCACTCTATCCCGTAGGTTAAAGATAGCCGAGCAGCTCGCCAAGAAACTCGAGCTCGAGAAGAATGAATTGGCTGTCAAAGTGGAGGAGTTAATGAAAGAACTCGATTCTGCCCGACATCCACGTGCTCAGGCAGATTCTGGGGAACTCAGTGAAGGCAAAGATGTAAACTCTGGCATCTGTCACATGGTCAGTCACCACTTCTGCTGTACAAGATCTAAGCGTAATGCATGTGTCAAGTTCAATCAGATGCTTAAATTTCTCTTTTCGTACCTCTACGCACTGACCATGAGGCAACGCATCGAATTGATAAGCATTCTATTTTTTTTGAATATATGTGAATGTCAATATGTGATCAGGTTGATGGAGGGCTGATTTCCCCAGACGCTTGCATAAAACTTGAAATATCTTCCAAGGGCAGCCCTCCGACTGCTTCAACATTCGGTGCGAAGAAGCGAAACTTCTCCTGCATAGACATGTCACGTGGCTTCTTTCAGGAGCTCTACGACGAAATTGACTCGGACCAGTTCGACGCTAGCATTAGTGGTGTTCCAGTTCTCCTTCAAGAGCAGTGGTATGGGTCCTTCACGGAGTGTTTGAACGCGTAACTCTGTCTCTGACAGAAAACTGAAGTGTAACGATTGAAGGTTGGAGTTTGTCTGCCGAAGATGTTATGATACATCTTACATCTGAACTGATTACTTGCCATGATTTCCATCCGTCATGTCCCTAACGTATGGATACCTTGAAGGCAGATTTGGTAAGGTTTTTAGGGTCCTGGAAATGTATTGGGAGAAACTGAATTGTTTTAAACGTTTGAAAGATAATAAACATTCTTGCATCACTGGGATGTGTTGTTGCTTCATCAATCAGTTTCTTTCTCTTTGCAAGCTGTTGTGAATAGAATGATGCTAGCTCCCATGTGTAAACGGGAGGATTGGTGTTTCAAACATCATGTTACACTCATGATTCTGCGTCTTCAGCATTTGAAAATCAATCGTGCACCCAGATGTTATCCATCATGAGTAATTTGTCGTTCTGGCCCGTTTGAAATTAAGTTTCTCACTTTCTTTTCTTCCTTTTTCCTTTTGCCCTCTCCTCCTCTCCCTCTCTCGATCTTATCTTCCAAGTCGAAGATGCAGGTGTACGTGTAGCACGAACTTTTCAAATCCTTCATTGTCTCTCCTTCAGAATTGTCAAGCATGGGTGGGCAGAATGAATTGTCAACATTATTTAATCTTTGAACTTATTTGCATTCTACTGTAAGTGTTGGCTTCTGAATGGTGAAAGTTTTTCCAAAGAATGTCATGACGTGAAGAATCGATCAATTGCATGTTGCTATATTATGATGCATTCGCTGCATTCAGGAGGTGGAAAGAGTGGAGTCTGTTGAGGGTTTGGGTTAGGGTGTGGCATTTTAGAAAAAGTCCTCAAGAATGTAGGGGGTTTCAATGAGATTGAAATCTAGCTGTTTTGAACTCAGAAACGCACAAAAATCTCCAATCTTGCTGTCAATAAATTTCGCCAAAAAAGGCAGTGAAATAAGCTTCCTCTAATTGACCTTCGAATATTATGGCTGCTGTTGCTGCACAAGACCTTGCCAACGTAACGTCAAGCCAAATGTTGAAAGAAATTACTATCCCTAAGTGAGGACAGAGTGGTGGTAATTCGCATACATCTTTAATTGATTAGTCCTTTCTTCTTCGAGATTCCTGCACCCTTGTAGATAATGGATCTAGCGGTTTCTTTTTTTATAACCTAATCATACAGTTCCACTCATAATTCTCGCAGGCATGGGTTGGTCTCCTAAGTGAGCCTCATCGAACCGCGTTCAGACATTCCACATCAGGGAACATATAAATGTGTCGGTTCCACAATTGTTGCTGACTCATCACAAATCGACAAAACGCGATCATAAACAAATACATCAAATGACAGTTGCCCAAGTGCCGACAAAGTTACGATACGTAGTCATCGACGATGACTTGTAGTATCCTCTATATATGAAAAGGTTCGGTTGGAATCGATATTTGCAAGAACTGCACTAACATTCGCAAGCTTAGGACAGCAAAGTGGATAAAATCGAACAAGAATCCAGCGGAGTGGCAGGACATGTATGAATTCAGAACCTCAAAGTCTGCAACTTATCTTGGTCAAGGTGGGTACCCTATTTCACTTAATTTCTGTCCCAGTCTTTGCTGTCAGACTGTCGATATGAACTGATCTGAGGTTAAACTAAACAGTTGGGTTGTACACTTTCACTTGTCCTGGTGGAAAACATGAGAATTCGCAGGTTTTGCGGTCTTTAATGTGGGCTGTCGGTGTTGGGGACGCTTGGTCATCCTCAGCATTGCGCAATGCGAAGTGAGCAGTACGTCTTGTTGTAACAGTTCTTCAAACGTCAATCGCTAGTCTTCGGCTGCTGCTTTGACCTTGAAATTATCGCAAACAGTAATAGGTATGTGGGCTGGAATGGGGCTGAATCCAGCGCAACATGCGTACTGGTGGGCATTGGACGGGTTGCAAAAATGCCTCAGTGAAAGTCTCCGTGTTGAAAAGACATCTCGGGCATGAATATTTAAATGTAAAACGTTCTGCGTGCTCGCTGCAGTAAGCACAGTTTCATTTTTCATTTTCTTTATTTATTCCATTCTTGTTTCTATTAAGAAAAGTTACGAAAGTCTGATCCCCGTAAGCATTCAATTCTCCAGGAAAACGAACACACAACCACCTCTTCCTACTTACCCTCTGTTCTACTTCTACATAATAATCATCCCCTGCACACAGTAGTTGCAGACGATTATCACTCAGATACTAACCCTAAGTTTTTCAATTCGTCAGAACAGATTATGCCACATAATTTTGTTTCGTCCTGACAGGAAACGCATCATTTGATAACCTTGAACCTCTTCCTGCCATAACCGACGCTTGATTCCAGAATTTTTCATCTCCCATATCGATTGTCTAAGAGCACGCAAATGCTACAAATAATTGCGGGCCAAGAGTTAGTAGCGAGATCGGTGGCTCACATCTCAAATCAGCATCAATTATTGTCAATCATGTGCACCCATTCATTCAGCAGCAAAGCACGTTCCGACCGGTTTAGGATATTAACTCATATATAAACAGTGTAGAATTCAGTGCATATCTATTTATAGTATCATTGTAAATAATGACCAGAATACAGGCTTAATCCTGCCGCAGGTGGTGCAACCTGAAACGTTGCAACCCCTTCGCAGGGAGTCAATGCTCCTGTATTCTATCCACAAACTGCAAGTTGGTTATTAATCCTAACTGCATTTCAATACACCCTCTAACCAAAACGTGGTGAAGTGGCGTTTCTCCTCCAAGCAGGCCAAGCATCGGGATGTGGTTGAGGAAATAATTCAAAAGAACATAACACAAAAGCTATCATTTTACTGTGATACACAAAAGCCAAACAGTGAGCATCAAGCAGTGCTAGTATAAGTACAGAGAAGCACAGGATGAGATCCACTTCTCTCCAAGATAAGTGGATCTGAGGTCAGGTATCCGTAGATCTAGGTAATAACGTAAGTAGGAGGATGATGGAGCAGGGATGAACGTCCCAACACCCTCCCTCACTGCGAAATCGTCCATGATGGACGATATCGAAAAGAAAGTTGTGCGGCAAAGGCTGTAAAACCTGAAGCAGAGTAGACATCTGGAGAAATGGAAATCTTGAAGCTGGTGTTTTTATTTTTGTTGATGGCGATGACGAGTGTTCTCTTACAGACGGCAAAGTAGACTTTTCACGTCTTTTGTTGATTGATGGTGGTTACTTTTGCGATCATACCCTCGAATGTGAACACAACAAGTAGAAGTGAGCAAACTTTTGTTAGGCGTTGAGGGTGGATCTGAAGGTTCTTCATGTGACACTCCTTTCAATTGTGTTGTTGATAAATTACTTGTTTCTTTCGAGGTTGTAGGGCTTGTTAAGTAGAAATGATGTTTTCCTTGAAGAGGGTGCCTGGATTGTACCTCGAGATTATGTAGAGCCAAAGAGGAAGTGATCCATAAGTCTACAACTCTTCACTTTGAGGTTGATAAGAACTGAAGTTTCATACTTTTTTTTTTTTTTTTTTTTTTTTTTTTGTTGTTGTTGTTGTTGTTGTTGTTGTTGCAAGCTTGTTTATGTGGTAAGTGTTGGTGATGAGAGCCTCAATTGGAGAAGAAGGTTGTGGCAGTTTTCCATGGGAGTGTATTCGTCTTCGATGTATCAAGTTTAGCACAGCAATTGCTCAAGGACAGTCGGCTAAGAGAGGAGGATTCTTCACAACAGTCGTTTGTGGGCAGTCGGCCGAGAGAGGAGGTGGTTCATCGTATTCAAGGCAGTTCTCTTCCGAAGATCTCACGGTATAAAGAGTTGCTCGAGGCTCGATCATCTTTGAATTGGATCCGCTCTGAATCTTCACAATATAGAGATGGTGTCCGTGGGGTTTCTACTGAAGAGGCAGCTTCTCCCAGATTAGAGGTAGCAAAAGAATTGGAGGAGGTAAGGATTTTTGTGACAGAGGAGGATGTTCTACACACGAGTTTAGAGCAAGTCAAGGATGTGGTATAATATATGATTGGGTTGTCTTTGAATATCAAACTAAGAGTAATATTGCCATGATTACTTCAGCAGCCAAAAGCTAGTGACAATGTATTTTGATTGCTACAAATAATAAGAAGAGTTACTAGAAAATGGAGGTGTTAGAAAATTGAAGTTGAACAAAGTATGACTAATTTAGTGAGTACAAAAGAATTAGACGGCGAGGTCCTTTTTTTCTCTGTAACTCCTAAATAGAATGGAATGATCGATGCATATTACTATGAACTTGATTTAGAGGACTATCTTATTAGAATTGAAGGTTGGATGAATAGCTTAGGATGTAGGAAGTTATTAGGGACATAGTCCTTAGAACCTTCTAGAGACAAGTTTCTAGAACCTTCTAGAGACAAGTTTCTAGAACCTTCTAGAGAAAAGTTTCTAGAACCTTCTAGAGAAAAGTTTCTAGAACCTTCTAGAAACAAGCTTCTAGAACCTTCTAGAAGCAAGTCTCTGGAACCTTCTAGAAGCTTCTTAGTTGGTAGAAGATGTTAGGGACATAGTCCTTAGAACCTTCTAGAGATAAGTTTCTAGAACCTTCTAGAAGCAAGTCTCTGGAACCTTCTAGAAGCTTCTTAGTTGATAGAAGTTGCTTGAGAAGCTTCCTAAATAGGAGTATATATTGGAATCGAGGCTGAAGAGTTCTTCAGTCTCGACAACACATCTCTTGGAGCTCTAGCTCACCTCTCTAGTGTTGTTCTTGTATTCATCTGATTAATCTAGTTCTTGCCAGTTCTTCTTGAACTTCTTGTTAGATCTCGAGTCTGTATTTCTGTGTCCGTGACAGTTTGTCGAGACTTCACTCACCTCAGATATCAGAGCTAGTTTCTTCTTTGTTAGAGTGTGGATTATTCCTCTGCTTGAAGGTGTACTAGCACTTTAGAGGTTGCGGATTACCCTCCTCTAAATTGATACTTCTTTTGTTACAATATTGGAGTCTTATTCTTCTTGGAGAGAGTGGATTACCCCTTTTCTTGAAGCTCTTAAGGCATTTTAGAGGTTGCGGAGTACCCTCCTCTAAACCAATATTTTCTTCTTGTAGAGTCATTTCTGTCCTTCTCTTAGAATGGTCAGGGGCCAAGACATTAGTATGACAAAAAATTCAGAGTCCAAGTTAGATGCTATCATGAATGCCCTCGCTACGTTATCGCAAAGAACTGTAGAGATTGAAGGAGTCGTGGCAAGGCTTCATAATGATGGAGCATCTGGGATGGCACAATCTAGGTTGCACCAGCCTCAAACTTCTACACTTGGAGAAACAATTTTGCCTCAAGTTCGACAAGCACCGCTAGTTCTACAACACAAGGAGCCCCGAGTCAACCTTCCGGACAAGTTTGATGGTACGCGTTCCAAGTTTCGAGGATTCGTCAATCAAATCAGGTTGATAACAGTTTTATAGTCCGAACGCTATCCAACGGAAGAGTCACATGTTGGGCTTGTTGGAACCTTACTTACAGGACAAGCTCTATCATGGTTTGCTCCTTTGTTCGAGAAACGATCGTCCATACTAAACAACTTTGAAACCTTTTTGGAGGCATTTGCAGAAGCATTTGGTGAACACGACAAGGTTCGATGGACTACAACAAAGATCCGGTCACTACGACAAGGGATACGTTCTACATCAGTCTATGCATCGGACTTCAGGCAATTAGCATGCGACATCAATTGGGACGAAGAAGCGTTGATGAGTCAATTCTATTAGGATTTAAGAGACGATGTGAAGGATTTGCTGTTAACTCTTCCTGATCCGCAAACGCTCAACAAAGCTATTAGCCAAGCTGTGAAGTGCGATAACCGCCTATTCCAACGTCGCCAAGACCAACGTTCAAGAAAACATACGGTTCGCCACGCTCCAACTATGTCGGCAAGCAACATGAATTCACATTCAGAGGTAGAAGACATGCAAATTGATGCGGTACATGTCAAATCTCTTACTCTAGAAGAAAAAAAGCGGCGTATGGAGGAAGGTCTATGCTTGTATTGCAGTGAAGAAGGCCACAAAGTTGGAAACTGTCCCAAGAAGCAAAATCGACGTATTATCAAGACTAGGGGCACGTTTATTTAGGAAAACGAGGATGCCCAGCCATAATAGGAACCGTGCGGCTGGACAATGAAATATCGCAACAACAGCCAGGTTCCTTTCTTTCCGCTCAACCTGCCCTTTGTTTTACAATCGCTTTGCTTATTGGCCCTCAAAAACTGAGAACCTTAGCATTATTAGATTCAGGAGCATCTGCTTGTTTCTTAGACGAAGAATTTACAAAGCGTCATAAGATCCCTTTAGTACAAAAATCCAAACCTGTTCACGTTGAGGTCATAGATGGACGACCTTTACTGTCTAGTAGTGTCACCCATGAATCAGAACCTATAGAAGTGACGTTTAAGGACAATAGTAGTCATATTAATTTCAATATTATTAGAACTCCATCAAATCCTGTTATTCTTGGTCTTTCCTGGTTGAAAAAGTATAACCCATCCATAGATTGGAAGTTGCGGAAGATGACCTTTTCCACAAAACCACCCAAGAGCAAGCCTAGTAGAAAACCCCGAATAGAGAAATCTTTATTTATTGGAGCAAGAGCGTTTATAAGATTGTCCCAGGGAGACATACCGTTTGTCATTTATGCGGCTCCAACTACCGGGGAGAAGATCTCGACAACAAGTATACCGGAGCAATATAAGGATTTTAAAGACGTGTTTCAAAAGAAAAATGCCGACATGCTACCGGAACACCAACCATATGATTGCGCCAAAGACTTACAGGAAGGAGCACAACCGCCTTTTGGCCCAATCTACAATCTATCGCAGATGGAGTTGGCGGAGTTGTGGAAGTACATCGACGAGAATCTAGCCAAGAACTTCATCCGTCATTCAAAATCGTCAGCTGGAGCATCCATCTTATTTGTGAAGAAGAAAGATGGCTCATTGCGGATGTGCGTGGACTATCGAGGTCTCAACAAGGTAACAAAGAAGAATCGTTATCCATTACCCTTGATTTCTGGTCTCTTAGAAAAACTTGGACGTGTAAGGATCTTTACAAA